GGGGTGGAGGCAGCACAGGTGCACAGGGGTGCACTGCGGGGACACCTGACACGGGCCAGGAGTCAGGCCAGACATCCTGAAGAATGCGTGGAAGCCAGCCAGGTCAAGAGGAATGGGAGAAGGCAGAGGGGACATCATGTGAGCAAGAGAGAAAGTGGGGGAGGGAGCCTGGGTGGTTCAGTAGCTTGAGCATCAGGCTCTTGATTTTGGCTCAGGTCATGATCCCAGGGTCATGAGATAGATCCCTCTGTCTGTCTGTCTGTCTGTCTCTCTTCCTCTGCCTCTCCCCTGACCGCGCATGTTCTCAATCTCTCTAAAACAAAAAATAAATAAGTGAAAAATTCTTAGAGAGAGAGAGGGAGAGAGGCGTTCCAGGATAATGAGGAGTGCGGGGTGGCTGGTGTGCAGGGCATGGGGGTGGGGGGCGGTCAGGAGTCGGTGTGAGCTGGGAGAGATGGGCTGGGCCGGGATCATACAGGCCCTTGGGGGCCGTTGTTGAAGAGATCAGATGTTATCTTCAGTGCAGAGGGGAACCATGGAGGGTTTTGGAGCAGGGTAGGAGCGGTGAAGGTGGGAGGCAATCACAGGGAAGCCCCAGAAGGCTTCGAGCTGAGCAGTGACATGGACGGGTTGTTATCTTAGAAGGATTCCCCTGGATGAAATGGAGGGTGTGGTAGCTGGGACAGGTGCCAGAGCCCGGGAAAGAAGGCAGGGGGTGGGGGTGTGGTCTGGAGCGGGGCCCAGGAAGGCTTCTCTCAACCCTGGGACAGACCCCGGGGATGCTGTTGGGTGCCTTTCAGCCCAAGGAAACCCTCTCCATGAGGCAGCCTGTTCCTTCCCCCACCCACCCCACCCAACATTTCATTTGTTTCCTCATTTCACCTTCGGGAGAAAAAGCCCACGCTGTGCTCCTGCTAACCTTTCTTACAAGCTTGTAGAAGTGGACCGTTTTGTCCTGCTTTTGTGTCCTCTTGCTCTATAGTCTTCAAGTTATTCATTCAACAAACATGCACCGAGCGTGAGTTCTGGGCCAGGGTCCGGGCCGGGGGCGGGCCTGGCAGGGAAGGAGGCAGAGGCCAGGCGGAAGAGTCTGGATCTCTGGCTAAGGAGTTTCAGGTCCCAACTTGGGGGTCACCGCCTCTGAGAAGCCACCTGGGTTTCTCTCGGCCCCCAGCGGTATTTCCCCAGTCCCTGTTCTGCCCTCCAGGAAGGCGATGGCCACACTCGCTCACCTGGCCATGGACTGACTCTCTGGGCCGAGCGAGCGTGAAGCCCACAGATCACGTGGGGCAACGGGCAGTGCGGTGTACTGGAAAGCTCTGCGGGCTCCGCTCCGGTCATCTCTGCACGGCCGCCGCACCATGGGACCTTTGGCAGCTCTGTCGCGGCCTCTGAGCCTCAGCTGCAGCTTTGGTACAATGGCAGCCGTAGCGGTTCTGTGAACCATAAAAGCATGGTGCCCCGGTGGGCCGCGCGGTGTGGTAACGCAGCAGACGTTCCCAACCCCCTCCTCCCTTTCCTGCCACCCTCGCAGGGGCTGGCGAAGTCAGCCGGTCACTTTGCAGCTTCCCTGAGAGAAGGGGGCATCTGACAACATTGTGGCCGATGACAGCCAAGTGGGATGGTAAGGAGTCATTCTAGGGGAGGGGCTGCTTCTCTTACGAGGCACTGTTCGTCCCCCACCCGCCCCCCCCTCCTGTCTGAACACAAAATGTGATGCCTGGGGCTACAGCAGCCTCCCTTGGGACCGTGAGGCACCGAGCTTGACGATGGGAAACCAACAGAGGGAGAGGACCGTGGGGCGAGAGACAGAGGAGTCTGGGTCCTCGGTGCGCCCTTGAGCTGCTGCCTGTCTCCACGCTTCTGTGACGCGAGGAAAACCAATGTCAATATATTGGAGCCCCTGTTGATTGGGTATACGGTTCCCTGCAGCTGAATGTATTTCTGGCATAACATGTGACGTGATCGTTAATTTTAGTGATAATAAAAACAATAAACAAGAGAAACTATCCCAGGACTGTTGGGTAGCCATAGTGTAGCATGCACACTCATAGATACGGATATATTTATAAATAAATGTATATATTATGTACTTATATACCATGCATGTCTGTTTAGTAGCAGGAGAAACTGTGACGAGATCGTTTTTTGAGACACTGGTTTTTCTGTGCTCTCCCAAACACACACGAGAGAAGAAAGTTCTAGATCTCGCTGCCTTGGGGGAGGTTTGAGGGAGAGCGGGAAGCGGGAGGGAGAGGTTACCTGCGAAATAACCCTTCCCCTCCTACCTTTGGTATCCAAAAGCCCAGTCTGTTGAGAAGCTTCTGGGCAGTGGGGGAGGGGCAGTGAGGGGGCAGCACAGGTGCCTCCTGGAGGGAGAGGAGAGAGGAAGAGCCCTTGCAGAAACTCGATGAGAGATGAGGCCATTTCTCCCAGACCCTAAAGAAGTTCTCTGTGACAGAAGAGGGGGTAGGGGGCTGTGGGTTCTGTTAGCAAGGGTGGGGGTCCCGGTTTCCTGCTGAGCTGGGGGAGCTGGGCAGAGCCTGGGGGAGCTGCTGGGACCTGCGGAGGGGTGTGTGTGGAGGGAGTGGAAGCTCAGTTTCCACCTGGCGACTGGTCTCGCCCCCTCTCCCCACTCCCCGCCTCGCTGCTACACGTGACCCCAGGACTTTTGCACTTATCTTGGAGGGGCAAACAAACAGTACAAGAGTGTGAAAAGCATTTATCTGCTTCGCTTTTTCAAGCAGCAGCGGAGGATTCTATTGAATGAATATGATTTATTTCACTGAGCCTCAGTTGATGGGCATTTACATTGTCTTCAGCGGTTTCCTTTTTTCTGTTTTCTTTTGCCTTTGCTGCTGTCAGCCATACTGTTTATTCTGGCCGCTTCCTGGGCTGCAGGAAGAGCATGGACTCCAGAGCCGAAACCCTTTAGGTTCTTACCTTGGCTTTGCCCCTAGCCGCTGTGTGGCCTCTCTGGGTCTCAGTGTCCCCATCTGCAGAATGGGGGTTATCGTAGCACCCACCCTATGGGATGTCGCCGTGGTCAGCGAAAGCATGTATGTCCACAAAGGGCCTGGCACCATTCCGGGCCCAGAGTGGGAGCAGAAGGAATGGTGGCTTCTTTTTGTCCCTGGCTGTCAGTCCTCAGGAACTGAGCCAAAAGGCTAGACCAACAGATGAGGCCACCTGAGCCCTCCCTCTGCCTCCAGGGACAGCAGCCCTTTGCCCCTCTCGAGGCGAGTGTGAATGATGGTGGCAGCAGGTGGGGAGAAAAATGATAACGGGTGCCAATGTGTATTGAATGGTTCCTGTGTATCCAGCCTGGAGCAAGGAGCTTTAATCCCTAAGCAAGCCTGTTAGTGCATGGAGAAAGAAATCCGCTAGGGAAAAGGAAGATGGGGACCCTGACTCCCCAGTCTTCCTTACCCGCTAGTCTAAATCAGCCTCCCCGTTTCTCTCAGTGCCCTGATTCTCTGCACAGCCGTTGTTACTGTGTATGATTCCGTGTCCGTTTGTGTGATTATCACTAGATTGTCTGACTCTTCCTAAGGCCAATGAGGGCAAGAACCTACCCTCATTGTTTATAGTTTTCCTGGTGCCTAGAACAGAGTGCGATAAAGAGAAAGAACCATGTTAGTTGATTGACTGATTG